CATCCATCCATCCATCCATCCACCCATCCATCCATCCATCCACCCATCCACCCACCCATCCATCCACCCACCCATCCACCCATCCATCCATCCATCCCCCCATCCCTCCGCCCTTGGCCCTGCCTCAGTTTCCCCCCCCGTGCTCTCCCCGCAGCCGGGCCTACTCCCCGCACGCGGCCTACGCGCAGAGCAAGCTGGCGTTGCTCCTGTTCACCTTCCGGCTGCACCGTGTGCTGGAGGCCGGGGAGGAGGAAGAGGAGGAGGAGGAGGAGGAGGAGGAGGAGGGCGGCCGCCATGACGCCCCCCGCGTCTCGGCCCTGGCCGTGGACCCCGGCGTGGTGGACACGGGCCTCTACCGACACGTGTGGTGGGGGACGCGGCTGGTGCAGAGGCTGCTGGGACGCTGGGCCTTCAAGGTGAGGAGACGGAGGGGGACGTCCGTCTGTCTGTCTGTCTGTCTGTAACCCACCTCCACCTCCCGGGCCTCGAACCCCCGCCCTACCGGAGAGACACAGACAGACAGACACAGACAGACAGACACAGACAGACAGACAGACAGACACAGACAGACACAGACAGACAGACAGACAGACAGACAGACAGACAGACAGACAGACAGACACAGACAGACACAGACAGACAGACACAGACAGACAGACACAGAACACAGACAGACAGACACAGACAGACAGACACAGACAGACAGACACAGACAGACAGACAGACAGACACAGACAGACAGACACAGACAGACAGACAGACACAGACAGACACAGACAGACAGACAGACAGAGAGGCGGGACTTCCTGTTATATATGTTATCAGGTGTGTCCATCACCCGTGGGGGCGGGACTTCCTGTATCATAGGAAATTCGGTTTTTCCGTCCCGGGGTGGGCGGGACTTCCTGTTTCTCCGTATTTCACGTCTGTCCATCACCCGTGGGGGCGGGACTTCCTGTATCAGGAAATTAGGCCTGTCCATCACCCGGGGGGGCGGGACTTCCTGTTTCTCCTTATTTCAGGCCTGTCCATCACCGTTGGGGGCGGGACTTCCTGTCTCTCCGTAGTTTCGGTTTTTCCGTCCCCGGGGTGGGCGGGACTTCCTGTTTCTCCTTTTTTTCAGGCCTGTCCATCACGTATAGGGGCGGGACTTCCTGTGGAGGTCTATTTTGTCCCC